ATAATTTAACCTTTGTATGAATGCTGCTATAAATATAAGAAATATAAGCATTTATAAGTCAGAAGCTTCTATTTAAAGTTCTATTTTTGTACTTTCGTGAGATGTTTTTTTTCACTTTGTGATTGGACTTACTTGTAATAATTAGTGATTAAAACAGCAGCAAGATGGGCAAAAAGGGCTATTTACTGTGTACACTGTAGGCTACATCGACAATTTCAGGACTTCTTGGTGTAAAATGTAAATGAAAATAACTGAAAAATTGTATACAATACAATTAGACCTTCTTAGATCTCTTATCCAACTATGCATGACCTGTCTGCGGCCTCTTCCTCAACACCTCAACTTTTACGACCATCTTCTAATCATCTACGTTACAGTAGTTCCAGCACTGGTGCAAAATCAGTCTCTACCTGTTACACGTGACAGCTGTTGACACAGGTCTACTCCGACTGCTGTAGCCCGCTGCAGCAGGTAGCCCCAGGAATGCATTTGCACCTCATATCCCAGAAGGATGTCGGGGTCGAATCTGAGGGAACACAAACATGTCAGCACAAAAGGTCACATAGAAATACATCCGTTTAAACACTGATATATATAATCGAACATTTATACTTGAGAATTCTGAAATTATTTCATTTCATTAGGTAAGGTTAAAGTTACTTAGGGTTGGGGTTAGTGTAAAGTGGTTTGGCGGTTAGGGATACATGTCACCTAATAAAGAACGGCAAGTATCGCCGACTTTTTTTTTCCTCAAGAGAGCGCCTGTTTGTTCAGAAACTGAAACCATTTAATGCATTTAAAGGACAGCCAATGATCTGTTTTTTTCTCAAACCAGAAAAGCAAAAGCTTCGTTGTGTGTTCGTATAAAGCGACTTCATTTGAACCAAAAGTTAATGTACATCCAAACTAAACTAAAAGTTTACTTCAGGTACCAAGAATCGCAAAGACCGTATTTTCCGGACTATATCTCACTCCAGAGTATAAGTCGCATCAGCCAAAAAATGCATAATGCAGAAGAGAAAAAAACACACATATGTCGTTGCAGAGTATAAGACACACCAGCCAGCTAGAGCGCCCTCTAGTGGCTGTCAGTGTGAAATTAATGAACGTAAATTTTCAGTGGTACAAGGAGTAGCAGATACTGGTACACAAGCCTAGAGTGCCCTCTAGCAGCTGTCAATGTGATAATAACAAACGGGTCCATTTTTAGTGGTACAAAAGCAGCAGATACTGGTACACAAGACTAGAGTGCCCTCTAGTGGCTGTCAGTGTGAAAATACCAAACATGTGAAATTATATATTTTAATATATGTCGCACCTGAGTATATGTCGCAAACCCAGCCATAGGATGAAAAAAACTGCGACTTATAGTCCAGAAAATGCTGGTAATGTATTTAAGGGTAACTTTGGCAAAGATTTTAATTTGGTTTAACCCATTAAAAATATCACATTCAGTATCAACCCACTGCCTGTCATTCTAACACAAACTACTCACGTTACGTTAACTGAAAACACTGAGGAGTGGATATACCTTCTAATGACACAGATCAGTTGCTGGAACAGCATCTTCTCATCAGTGGCGTAATCCACCTGCAGCCCGGAGATGCCCGATCTGATCAGCAGGGGCGCTCTTGATTTGTCGCCTGTAACGGTAGTCATGATATTCAAGAACCTTGCATTGTAAACAGGTCTAGTTACACACACTTCTGTGCTGTGAAATGTTCCAACTTTTTACCCTGGACACTGCTCTGATGGTCTTTGTCCACTACGATGGCACCGGTTATCACAGTACTGTCTCCACCTGGTAAAGCGGCATCAGAGCTGAGGCAGTAAAATAAGGCACATATAGGGTCAAACTCAGGGTCTGCTTCAAGGTCATGGCGGCTCCTTGCATGTAGCTCCATGGCCATGAGTGTTAGGTGCTGGACCTGAAGAAGAAAGACAAGTGTTTACTTAACCAACAGACATGAATACCGTAATTCCCGGACTATAAGCCCATGCTTTTTTCACACGCTTTGAACCCTGCGGCTAGCTGTTAAAACACTGTTTATGTTCTGTTGTGTGGATAAGCACAAAGTGAAGGGAGTTAGCCCCGGAGCTAATGTTAGCTTCGGTCCCGTAGCACACCACTAAGTCTCCCCTGTGCATTCCAAATATGGCAGGGGGGCCGAAGCAAGAAAGAGCTAACGTGTAACCAGCCGTGTTACAGGCACGCTTCGGAAAAAAAGCATTTATTTAATCTAATTTAAATTGAAGGCCAATGTGGTTAGCGAATTTAGTAGCTTTTGTCTCAGTGGTACCGATAGAGAGGGAGAGTTTGAGATTTCTAAATGTAGTGTTACAAAGTGGTGCCATTTCAGTTTTACCTCATGCAAAGCTTTGGCTTCCTGCAGGTTGTGAATGCTGAGTTTGAAGCCATAAGAGTTGCCAATGCTGGGCCCTTCAATTTGTGAATTCTCCTTCTTTGGCACATTGACAGCAGCAAACTGGTTCTGTAGAAAACAGAAAAAAATATACATTTAAAAAGTAGGACACCATATGCACAGCAGCAGCAGCAGAATGGCAAATATGTAATGAAAGCATAGCCTTACATTGGTATATAATGTTTGTTCAACCTACTGGATGTTTACACTGTGTGGTAAACACCACTATGTGGCGCTGTCAGCCTCAACACTCTGTACAGGCTCTAACATTATTTCCCTACCTATCGTAACAGAGTGAGCGACAATAGGATTTTTTATGCCTGTAAAGAAACACATATCGATGTCAAACTCAAGGCCTGGGGGCCAAATGTGGCCCACCTGGTCATTTTGTATGGCCTGCGGGAGCAATGTATAGTATTTGTAACCTATATAAATACAAATCAACTGCAGAAACAATAATATTTTAAAACTAATTCTTTTCTGTCTGATAAATGCCCACACATATATACATATATACATACTGTACATACATATACATACATACATATATACATATATACATACATATATATACATATATACACATATACATACATATATATATATACATATATACATATACACATATATACATACATATATACACATACATATATATACATACATATATACATACATATATATATACATATATACATACATATACACATATATATTTATATACATATATATACATATACAGTATACGTACATATGTACATATACATATATATTGGGGTTGTGTCAAACCAGTTGGGATATAGAATGGGATCCACAGCCAACAAACTCTAGGAATGGATGGTCTACCTAACTTGTCTATTCCGTAAAATCAGCATGGACATTAAACCAATGTTACTAGTCCCACCGTTAGTTGTTTGGACTGATGTCCATTTAGTTATACATTTGGACTCTGACCTGCATCTGTGTAGTCAGCAAAACCCTCCTCATTGGGCCTGTGCAACGTCTCCTCCTCTGCTGAAGTCTCTGAGAGGCAGGGGTCTCTGCAGCACGGACAGAAACAGGACGACGGTGTTATTCGTCTGACTGACCGAAACACTGCACCGGTGGCTGTGCTTATGGGTCAGATGTGATCTCTTACCTGCAGTTATTGGTGTGCCGCACTCTGGCTTGAGTTCTTTGGCTCTCTGACTTAGAAAGGGAGTGCTGTGCAGGAGACGGGGACTGCCGCTGTCCTCCTCCTCCTTTCGGCCCGCACGGGGCGTTAGGGGACTGAAGTAATTGCCTAATCTGTCAAAGGAACTACAAGGATTTGGTGATAATAGTTCCAGAGAGTTTTCACTTTGCTTGTTTTCACTTTGCGAGTGTGGACTGGAAGGACTCTGCTGACGGCTCTCCTGCCAGGGAGGCAGGTCGGGAATCTCGTCATCATCTTCGTCTTCTTCTTCTTCTTGTTTCTCATGTTTACAATCAACATCGCTTTTGTCTAAACCCTGACATGGCTGTGAGGCTACGCTTTGAAACCCTGCGTTTCTCGCTGAAGATGTAAATAAAGAGTTGCGTCGGTTCCCCTGGCGTTGAACTCTGGTCGCAGAAACATTTCCAGATAACTCAACCTTCACAGCCGAGCAGGGGGAGGCAGTAGGTGTGCTAGTTCTATTAGCGGTTTTCTCTTCGTCATCTGAAGCGGCCCTCGTGTTTTCTGGCAATTCTCTGTCTTTCCGCATTTTTCGCAGACACTCGTATTGCTTCTTAGCTTCCAGCCAGAGGCGCACGACGTCTTGGTTTGGAGGGTTTTTGCAGGGCAGAAGAATGATCTTGCTATCCTTTGTTGAAGTCGATTTAGCCTCGGCCTGATCTTTGATCGGTTTCGAGTCCTCGACTCCCTTAGTTCGAGAGGGTGAGGTAACAGTGGCAGGATGTGTCATAGCTGAGAAGGCCGTCTTCCAGAAAAGTAGACCTTCGGTAGAAAAGTCTCCACTGAACTCTGCCAGCTCGTTTGCCAGTCTGGTACCCACTACGAGCCTACAGCCACCGATTTCCCTGGAGAAAAGACAAGATTTTGATTACTTTTGTTCATCAAAAATGTCCATAATTGTTATAAATTGAATGAAGTGGTTACATTTCAGACTGCATTATGTGCAAAATGAAATTGATTCAAAGGGAGTGTGTTGCGCATGTGTACTTCATTATACTATATCAGGGATATCAAACTCTTCGAGCAAATTTTTGCTTTGAGATACGAGTAAATATTTGAGATACGAGCACGCTTACAGACGCCGAAGCTAGGTGGCCGAGCACTCGGAGCAGCCCATGCCGCCTCACGCACTTCGCGCGTTCGTCGACTTCCGTACGCCACTCCCGCGAGTCTTGTATTTGCGTTATCTACGTGATTTTCTTTCTATTCTAATTAATTTTGTGCATTATTCTTCATAAAAGTGATGAGTCCTAAGAGAGTGAGTGGTAAGGATGGTGGTGAGAAGAAGAAATAAAACGTGGATTTGCCGATTAATATGAGCGTGGTGCCCGCTAAAGAAAGAATACAAATCGAAAATACGCAAGATAAGTTAAGTTAGTTCATTTTTCATTTTAAGTTTTATGTAAGTTACGCAGTGTATGCGTAAGGTACGGTACGGAATCAAGTGTCTACGTACGGACCAACTCTCTTCCCTAACTTCCTTCCTCCCTCCCAACTCCCCCTCGTCTGTCTCGAAGGTAAGAACTCATAATTAAAACCGCATTTTATTTTATATCACAGGAATCCTTATACACTATAATTTTTATTTTGTGTGTGTATGTCTCTATAGCAATTAAATACTTTTTTTTTTCTGTTATTTCTTATGGGAAAACATGATTCGAGTTACGAGCTCGGTCCTGGAACGGATTATGCTCGTATCGCAAGGTATTGGTATAATAACAAAATAATAATAACAAATAAAATGCTTTTTGACGGCAACATTCCCTTCACATAGTAGCAGTTAATATAGTCCTTATACAACTCAATCTCCAAACTAATGTTATCAAATCAGCTGACATCCCACAAACATTTGTCTTTTATCATACACTATAAACAGACCAGTAGTAACTGTCCCTTTAAGAGAGAGGTGACAGGGTTTTGCTACACAGAATGTCTTGGTACTATTAGCTGCTGAAATATATCTACAATCTGCATCTAAAACTTGCAGAGTAATTTTGATGTATTTTTTGAAACATTTTGCGTGACACAATCACTTACATTGGTTTCCCTGGGGCATCGGAGGGATCGCTGCAGAAGGGCTCCTGGTACGTAGCCTCGGAAATTTCAAAGTTGACCAGACTGTTGACGATCTCGTCCTGACTTGGAGGAGACATGAGTGGCTTGAGAATGTGGGCTCCTCCCCCCATTCCTCGCATTAGCTGACTTGGCCTCACCTGAGACGGTGAGCTAAGGGATCGAGGTGAGCTACTGGGCGTGGTTGAAGTTAATCCATCAATGCCTTCCAGAGGGTCCCCCAGTGCTGAACCCTCGTGGTCAACGAAAGACGCTGAACTCAAAGGCAGCGGTGCAACCGGATCCAGAATGGAGAAGAGCAGCTCTTTTCTCTCGCAGTAAAAATCCTGAAAAGGACTGAGGGTGTGGGATTTACACGGTGAAAACTCCCAGTCTTTTTTCTCGTTCCTCTCGGAGTTGAGGGGGTTTGATACCAGCTCCACATTCTCAGATGCATCAAGGAGCTCGAGACTCAGAGGCTTTCTTTTCTGCCAATCAAATTTCTTCGCGGAGCTTTGCATTTGGGCCGGATCAGCTTCCTGGCTTACCTCGCTCAGAAATTTAGCGGGTAAAATTTTATCGGTCAGGACAAACTGGCTGCCGCCGTAAGAGTTGGAGAACTCGGACTGATCGATGGCATTTATATCAAAGTTATAGTTGTGTGGGAGCTCCGGTGACAAGCTGTCCTCCATTAGAGTGCAAGTGTCCAAACCGGGTTCTGAAAAAACGAGTACCTCATCATCAGACAGGTTGTCCTTGTGCATCATGCACAGGTTTGTCTGTGTGCTGCTTCTCGCAACTGTTTTAGTAGTCGGCTTGCCGGTCTTAGGAGTGGTACTTTTTTGGGCTTTGGGTCTTTTAGGAGTGGTTGATAAAACCTTTCTGGATTTTGCCCGTTTGATCGAAGGAGCCGGCCCTTTGTGACCATCTGTACCGACCGTTTGCGTTTGAAGGGTCTGCGCCTGCTGCCTCTTCTGGAGAAGCTGCCTCAAGACATTCAAGCCTGAGGGAAGTTCTCCGACGCTCAGTCCCGTGCTCAGAAACGATTTTGTTTGTGCATTTTTTCGGTCCTCTTCTCCGACCAGATCACCAAGAGGGGGCGCCGTGCACTCTACCTGTGAAGACTCTACTTTTATGGCAGTAGTCTGGCAACCTTCTTCCTTCACCTGAACCTGTGGTGTAAAGCTTAGGTTGACCTCCATAACTGAAGTCTCACATTCGTCAACCTTTGTTTGTACAGATTGCGCAACTAATTTAGACTCCATTAACGTAGACTGAGGACAGGTCCGGCCGTCGTCGTTGTTCACCGGTTGCTGAAACGTAGGGACTTCTTCAGAGAACATCTCAGAGGGAGGTGGGTCGTCTTTTTGGGAAAGAAACTGAGAGCTATCACTGGTACTTTTGGTTTTTTTGCGAGGCCGTTTCATTTTAGAGGTGGTCGGAGTTACGCTGACAACACCTTTAGGGTCATCTTTAGCTTTCTTTCTCTGTCTGAAAGCACTTCTCTTGTGGTTTTGCATAAAATGTTCTTTTCTTGGTTCCTCTTCACCCAGCGATGGCTTTATTTTCCTTTTCCTGTCAGTCGATTTTGGTATCCTGGCAGCTTGACGCTTATTTTGTTTGATTGAAGACCCGACAAAACCTGCCTTCCTGTTTGGGATTATTTGCTGTTCTGGGCATTCCATTGATGGTTCACTTGGCGACCAACAACGTGGAGGTGTTAAGTCTGTAGGACTTTGGGATCTTTCGGAAAGGTAACCCAACTCTGCCATTACATCGTTGTATTCTGTGTCATGGTCCTCGGCAAGTTCACCGTAACATGGCAGTGGAGGCGGAAGAGAGGCTAAACGCAAGCCTTTCACGTGGTCTTTAGTCCCGCTGGCCCTTCGACCCTGCTTCACTTGCGGCTTGTAAGTGTTGCTTACTGATTTTTTGGTAGAGTAATTTACCCTCGTCTTTCTTTTAGATTGTTTCTTGACCTTTGGTTCAATAACAGGAAACCTGACAGCGGTGGATTCTGGTACCTTGGGCCAGAAATCCTTAAGAGGAGCAATTTTATTATAAAGACTAAGCCTTTCTGGAGTGAGCAACACAGATCGCTCATTTGCATTTATCTTGGACATTTTCACCAGCATGTTTTTCTGTCCTTTGAACCTGTTGATAATGATGTACTTTATAATGATAGGCGGATCCTTCTTGCGCCTTTTCTGGTATTTGACATCCTGTCGAATGATGACGTTGCCGTCCTTTTGCTTGCTATCCAAGTTTGGCTTTGTAGAACGAGTTGATACTGAATCTTCCTTATTTACACGATCATAAATCATCTTCCGTTTAGCCCTCAGGGTGTATTTACTATTAAATAGCGCTGGGTGTTTTGAGCCGGAGACTTTTGGGGACTCGTCTTCCAGAAAATCCCACCGACTCTCGACTGGGATTTTAGTTTCTTCAGACAAACAGGAAACGGTTGGTGAGTCAGAGGAAGACATCTCTACAAGTGTTTCTGTCCCTTCAATAGCAGGCTTCTGAGCGCTTTCCACTTCCTCTTCTGCAATTTTGACCTCTGTAAAAATTCCCTCTTTTCCAGGTTCATCCTTTTCTGAATTTACATCCAAACTTGACATCTCTGCCTCTGTCTCCCCATTTTGTACCAAACTTGACATCTCTGCCTCTGTCTCCACGTTTTGTGGGGTGAGGCTACTGCTAACATCACTGTCAACGGTTAAATCTTCAACAGGGCTAGGGCTGTTTCTTTGCCCCGTTATTCCTAACTTTTTCTTATTCAGTTTTAGTCTCGACCTACAAGGCTGGGCCTCCACTAGTTTGCCAACAGAATCATTCTTTTCGATCAACTTTTTGCTCCCAACTTTTTTCCTACGTAGGCAGTTCGAAAGTATTACGCTCGGAAAGAACTTGTAGTGTGCTTCCTGCTGCGCTACGATGGTGCTCTCCGATTTGTTTTCCTGATAGTCTTCGTATCTAATTTTGAGTTCACCAACATCTCCTTCCTCATTTTCTTCCGCAATTTCTTTTGCCTGCCGACCAAGGAACCCGTCCTCATCTAACGTCGACAGCGACGAAGAGATGTTCATCAGGATGGGACTTTTGCGATCTTTCTGGCTGAATTCCAATTCCGTCTTTGACGTGCCGTTCCTTAGCTCCGAGTAACAGAGAGAAAATGTCCTGTGGTTTTGAAGAATCGATAGGCAGTCTGTTTCTACATTCTTTGTGCCGCTATACATTGGTTGTCTTCTTTTACTAAATGAAAACGTTTGACCACCCGTGTCCTCTAAGTTGATGGTGTTTTTCTTGTCAAAAGTGTAAAGAGGTCGGATGTCTTCACTTTTTACACACGCGGGAGGCGCATCGTGGTTGGGCATTTTGCACGGGATAGGATGCTTGACTGGCGGGATGTAGGGGATTTGTTTATTAAGCTTTAAACCTGATGAACATTCACTACCGCCATCTTGGGCGCTTTTTGATTCACGGTGCATTTCAAGTTGTTGTTCTGCGTCCAATGGATGACCTGGTCTGTGGTCAGAGTGTGTGCACTTCAGGAGGATGTTAGCCGAAGTAGGTGGATCAAATTGAATAGTCTCGCCAGGTAACAGATTTCCTTTGCCCAGCATCTTTTCTGTCGTTATGGGAGAAGACTGGCTGCTTGAACTGTTGTCTGTTAGGGAGGAATCTACAGATACAACAGAAAAAAAGACATTTGATACTCGCAATATGACAAACTTAATTCAATGTACCGTATTTTCGGGACTGTAAATCCCTGTAAATTTACATTTCTGTAAATGTATAAGTCGCACTAGTCAAAAATAGCATAATGAAGAAAAAAAACAACAACATATATAAGTCACACCAGTCCCCTCTAGTCAGGGTTAAAACAACGGACATGTACATTTTTGGTGGTAGAGGAGTAGCAGATACTGCTAAACAAGCCTAGAGTGACCTCTAGTGGCCTTCAGTGTGAAAATAAACATGTACATTTTCGGTGGTACAGGAGTAGCAGATATTGCTAAACCAGCCTAGAGTGCCCTCTAGTGGCTGTCAGTGTGAAAATAAGTCGTACCTGAGCATAAGTCACAAATCCAGCCAAAGAATGAAAAAAAAAACGTTACTTATAGTCCGGAAAATACGGTTATCTACAACTACATTAGCGTGTTCATGAAAACAAGGGTACAGCTAGCATATAGCTAAATCTGGGTATAACACACATTACGACTGCTGCCGCCATTAGATCAATCATATGATAACTCACCTAGAAAGTTAAGCAGGGATTGTACGGTAAGAATTAGCGTATGCTAACTAATGTTAGCATACGCTAATTCATACGCTAATTAATTAATATTCATTCGATATTAAACTTGCAATGACTGACCACTGTTTTCGTCCGCCGCCCCATCGAGCTGAGGTATCGACAAGTTGATGAATTGAGAGTTTTCCCCGCTCCACTCCATATCTTCATCAGAAGACTCCCGTTGTTCCTCACTAAAGCTGTCCTCTGTCTCCTGAAGAGCTGACCTGTCAACGCAGGAAAGACAGCAGCACTGGTTAAGCACTATCGGCTAGCATCTTTTGTTGAGTGTTGATGGGGCAGATAAGATTGATCTTCTTCAAAATAAGTAGAAGACTTCCATCAGAAGGTGCTGGATTCACTGAAGGTGTTCGAGGCTTGTTTGTCCACGTCATCACTCCGCTGTTGTGCCTACATGGGCTACTCCACACCCAAATCAGTAAGCTAAAAAAAAACAAAAAAAATCTCTTCTTGTTTCATTTGCTGAGAACATACAATAACTGCAATCCTTTAGTGCTGTTTTTGTTTTATATGGTTGTAACTTCCAAGAATGCAGAGAAGAAAATGAGGCAGCTAACTGCACCAGATACATTTTATTTAAAAACTTAAAACATGTTGTATCGAACCAAGAAGTCTGTGCTTCATTTCAACCTTTATATATATATATATATATATACATACATAATAGATATATATATACATACATATGTATATACATGTATATACATGCATATATACGTATATACATACATATATATATACATACAGTACATACATATTGTCATGTCTGTCTGTTTCCGTGTTCCTTGTTGTCTTTGTGGGATCACACTCACCTGTTGGTAATTAGCTTCACTTGTGTCACCTGGTGTTCCCTGTGTATACGTATATACCCCTCTCCCTCACTCTGTCGGGGGGATCATTGTGTGTTTTTGGATCATTGTGTTAGATCTTCGTGTTCGTGAGTTTCCTACTCTGTGTTTCCTCGTGTTCTGTGTTTCCTCTTGTTCCAAAGAGAATTCCATGCCTATTAGTTCTTCGTGTTTTGTTAATTTGGACTCTGTAAATAAAACTACCTGCACCAGAAAGAGTCTCACCAGTACTGCATTTGGGTCCTGCCTGCTTCCTGCGATGCCCACACGTGACACATATATACATATATATACACACATACTGTATATACATACATATATATACATACATATACACATATATACACATATACGTATATACATATATATGTACATATATACATATATACAGTACATATATATACACACACACATACATATATACACACACACACAAATGTCTTGCCTTGGTAAAGATGGACCGACAGTCTCTTCTGTGTCCCATCTCTGTGACATCAACACACTGAGCTCTGACTCTTCCTTTTCCAGATCTGGTCCTTCTTCCTCTTCATCACTGTTGTACTGGTAGCTTCTGGCACCGGTAAAAGACTGGGACTGGAAATTTGGCCTGACTGGAGTTCTGTAGAAACCGTCGTCCTCCAGACCTGCCAATAGATCAATGATGGCATTGTCCTGGCTGTTGTCTGCACAAAAAAAAACAAAAAAAAACAAATAAGAAAAACAACTTGACATTGCGGCGTTTGAAGGTCCAACCTGTCTTTCTGTATAAATATATGCATGATATTTGTAGAGAGATCTCCACAAAGATAAAGCACGTGCTGTCAAACTCTTTTCACCAGGGGGCCACATCAGCAATACAGTTCCCCTTAAAGCAGTACTTCTCAAATAGTGGGGCGGACCCCCCCTAGGGGGGGGCGCAACGAGGTGCTGGGAGGGTGTGAGGGGCTTTCAATGGAATATGGGACGCTTACCACTGCTGTAATGCTTGAGCGATAAGAAGCCCCCAGTCACTAGGGGGCAGCAACTCATACAGTGGTTTTGTTGTACAGATAAAAATACATATAATCAGATTCTCAATAGTTTTTCAATTCACGGGGGTGCGGGTTGGAGGGAGGGGGCGTGAAAACTTTTCTGTCCCCAAGGGGGCGCATGACAGAAAATAACTGAGAACCACTGCCTTAAAGGGTCGGTTGTAACTGTAAGACATAGCTGCATAGATGTAACTACTCCCTAACGTACAAATACATGTTTGCGCAATTGATTATTATTTATTGAAGTAATATAGAAATATAGAAATATTATAAATTGCTCTGTGTAATAAAACAATTAATTTATCAAGTTAAGAGACACTTTTTAAGGTCCCGCAGGCCACATTTGGGCCGCAGCCCTTAAACAATTAATTTATCAAGTTAAGAGACGCTTTTTTAGGTCCCGTAGGCCGCATTTGGGCCGCAATCCTGAAGTTTGACACATATGAACTAAGGATATGCAGGAACTGTTTCTATTACATAATATCATTCACTAAGAATACAAACAGAAACATTGCCCTAAAACGGTAGCAGCGTGTTTTTTTTTTATTTTTAAGGTAAATTACTTCACGTGACGCAGAAAAAGGCTAATAAAAAAAAAAAAAAAATTCATTGGGGAATAAAGAAGAAAAAGTGTCCCCAGTGTAAAGGTAAGACATACTTAAGCGAGGTGAGTGGTTGGAGGTTGGATGTGAGAATGACAGGAAGGATTGACTGTTCTCCAGTAGGCTCAGAATTTTCTCCTCATCTACCAAAGCTTCCTCTTGGACTGTACCACTTCTCCTCGTTGCGGAGTCTGCAGAGGGAGAGATTGTCCTGAGTGTCTGGTAACATATGCAGCAAGAAACCAACAACAACATGTGCAGAGTTAAGACAACAGGCGCCATTCTTCATACCTTGCTGTGAATCCATATGTGTCTCGACAGCACTAACTGGGGAACAATGAATCCCCTCGGGGGCCGAAGGGTAGATAGTGAGGTCACTAAGAATATCCTCTTGAGTATCTTCACTATCACCTGTGGAAGAAGCCTGCGTCCTGAAAGATCAAAATAAATTGAGAGGAATCTCCTAGTTAATGATATGTTCAATGTTGATCGTAGCACAAAGCTAAACATTTCTGAAAAGAGAGAAGGGAAAACATCGCTGACATCCCGAAAGACCATATGAGATCTTTTGGTTTCAAAAGGAACCGTTTACAAATGGGAGGTATGTGTAAATTTGGGTACTTCGATTTGAATACATTCAGAAAATGTATCATTAAGAAACGGTTTACTGCTAACCCTAAACCTAACTCTATTTTATTTTATTTTTTTAAGTAAAATTAATCTTAGTATAACACACTTTATACTGCAGTATACTTAAATGCTTCTTTAGTAACCAAATGTTCTACAGCATTGATTGAAAATAGGGAGCAGAACGTATTTGCCTCCCCCCAGTGGACTAAAGAGGCGTTGCAGCTGGTTTTCACGAAAGGCTACACAAGGGCTACTACCGGGCAAAACCCAGCAAGGACTTACATGTCCAGTCTCAGTAAGCACAAATGTTACGTTTGGCTTCCTCTGACATGAAATAAACACTTGTTTATTATTATTATTCATTCATTTTAAATGATAATTTCAGGAAATCAAGTGGAACGGCTATGGCATAAATGGATTTGAGGCTGAACGTGTGCGAGCCACTTATAAAAATCTCAATTTTTACATCCTGTGCTTCCATTTAAAACCATTATAACTGATGAGAAAATGACCAGACATAATAGGAAAACATGGTTATGGACACAGAGAACAATCTACGTGTTTCATACCCTTTTTTGAAAAATCCCAACACAAACAAAAAGGGTCACAAAAAGTGTCTTGAAATACCGTAGAATGGTCTTCTTGTTAAAATGAACTTAATTGGTGTAAAACCTGGTCCTGTTTAATTGGACAAAATGCTGATATACTCGCAGGAATTGAAGAAAGACACACATGGAAAATTGTCTTAAAAACACTCTCTGTGTCGTTTTTATAACAGTCAGCCTTGAAACGTCGAACTCGCATAGTTGGGTTGCCAGATCACAGGGTTTGGATATTCACCGATCTTGGTCGTCTGTCTACGACTGTGAAGCAAGAGCACCACCTACTGTGCCACTCTACATGCTGCGAAACATTTGAAAAGGCTGCGGTTCTACTCATTATCTGAACAACAAATCAGAAACGGGGGAACTACTTACACATCGAAATCATTCTCCTTGAGAATCTCTTTCAGTCTTTTCATGAAGATGTTTTGGCTCTCAGGTGACGTGACCAAGTCTCGTTCTGAAACACATCGACACGACAGGCAACTTAAACACAAGCCACTTCTGGGGAAAAAAAAAGCTGCCTTTTAAAACTCGGCGATGTCTTTATTTAAACTAAAACAGTGCATTACGCATTGGTGAAGTAGGCGGTGGATAAGGTCAGTGAAACACAGCGTTATACAATATTTATATATACATAAATACATATATACTGTCATATTCATAAGCCATTATCTACAGTCACACATATGACAGCAAACAGATTTCCTTATTTAAAAAAAGGAAGTACATTTAAGTTCATAATACAAGTACAGGTACATATATATATATCTATAGATATATGCATATATACATACATACATATATATTCATATACATACATACATACATATAGACATATATACATACATATATACATATATACTGTATATACATATATACATATATATACATATTCATACATATATACATATATACATACATACATATACATACATACATACATATAGACATATATACATATTTACATATACACATATATACATATACATACATAATACATAAATAGTAAAAAAAAATTGTACTTTTAACTTAAGAAATAGAATTTTGTTGTCTTATGTACTTGAGCTTAACTGTATTATCTATTACAGTGGATTGATTGTCAAAAACAGCATTGAACTCCTCACCTTGTGACTCAGGTGTTGCTATCTGTGAAGTCTGGTCCTTCTCTCTCCTCCTCTGCCTCTCATCCTCCCAAATAGCCTGTAGTCCAGGATTCCGTCCAATCTGGTCTGGAGACAAGTAAGTTACAGCAAAGAATTGCGAATCATTTAGTCCGAATCAGCAATCATACTTGATACTAGCAGAGGTAAACAGAAACAGGGAAGCTGTAGTCTTTATTACGCACATATACGCAAACAGCCATTCACGGACAGACATATGCTACTAGTATAACACGCAGTAGCCTACCAGAAAAGTCACTGATCGCTAGCGGTATGTACTTCGTTAGCCCGTCCATAAATTAGCCGCGTCATTGTTTAAGCTGCAAGGTTTAAAGGGTGTGAAAAAAGTAGCGGCTTATAGTCTAGAAATTACGGTAATAAAACAGAGTGTTTTTTATTGTCCCCCATTTTACATATTTTCCTGCATGTTCCCCAAGAAGAAAAAGTAAACGAATAACTACTTTCATTAAAATAGGTAGAAACAAAATTCAATAATCACATATTCGTCAAAATCGGGATGCAATCCGACAAGACAAATCCCCTATTGCCAGCCTTGTTTGTTTGCTCAGGTTGCTACGGTCACAACGGTAGTGACACAATGAACTGTATTTCAAAAAAATATTTAAAAAAAAAAAAGAAAATCGCCCAACTTACTTTCTACTTCCAACCTATTGAGGATGTCAACAGCAACACCATCAACCTCGAGTTCGCACGTGCTCTGCCTCGGCACCTCGTCTAGAATCAAGGAGCTGCGAACAGATAATTGTTGTTGCTAAAATGGTCTTGACAATTAAAAAAAAAAAAATTTAAAAAGTTGCGTTTACTTGTGACTAACCAAGGTATTGTATTCTCCTCCCATCGTACAAATGTTCCTCCCAGGGTGGTGTCATTAGGCTTATAGGTACAGGGGCTCTTCTGAGGACTGACACTGGGAGGACTGATGTGAGGTTGCCTGTCTGGGACAAATGTAAGACACATAGGACACACATTTGAGCACTTTAAGGGGAGAATGCAAAATGGTATAAAACATACGTGTCAAACTCAAGGCTCGGGGGGGGGCCAAAGGCGGCCCGCTAAGCTGTTTTGTGTGGCCCGCGGGAGGTTAAAAAGCATTTAGTAAAGTCCATGCAGCAGAGTTTCTTAACCTAAGAAATTAAAAGTTTTTTTTTTTATTACACAGCAATGAACAATATTTGTAGCTTGAATAAATAAGAATCAATTGCAGAAACGTTTATTAGTCTGTTATGGAGTAGTTACATCTATACCAGCTGTTTTGTTCCAGCCGGTACCAAGGTGCTGAGCATTGAAGGATCATTACATTTTCAAAATAAAACATCTACTAGACTCTGTTTATATCAGAGTCTGATTGACCTATTATTTTAAAATTAAATATTGCCCGATTATCTTTAAATAAAGAAAGTAAATGGATATGGTGGATTTTCTCGATTTACTATGAATGAAGTAAATTAGTAAAAAATAAGCACAATTTTTCACTGTGACCGGCCCGGTACCAAATGACCTATGGACTGGTACTGGTCCGCGGACCTGGGGTTGGGGACCCCTGATCTATACAGTCTTCCATTTACAACCGGCCCTTCAAGGGGAACTGTATTGCTGGTGTGAAAATGCCAAATAAATAAAATGTAAATTATTTAAATTAAACATGAAATAATGATATACTTAACATTTTCTCAAACTTGTACTATTTATTGAAAAGAATAGAAATAAAGTCTCCATGTGTCCCTGTGATGGACTGGCGAACTGTCCAACCCATGGACAGCTGGGATTGGCTGCAGTGTCCCCCATGGCCTTTTAAAGGCACAGGCAGTAGATAATGGCAGGGTGGATGAATGGATGGTTTGAGAAACTCAATGTTTGCCGTTTTGTCGTTTGTTATTAACGGACAAAAAAAAATGTCTTACCGAACCTAAGATGTCAATACCAAGGCTCGTATACAACCAGCTTTTGTGTATTGTAGACCAGAGATTACATATTAGGGGAATCGTACTCCGTAGCCCCTTACCTTTGTTCGAGCTTCTGCGAAACTTGACAGCTCCCAGGTTTATCAGGTTCATGCCGTACAGGTTGTAGTCTATAAAAAACTGCAGGAGGAAGGGGATGTGTCCGTCATGGGGCTGGAAACTTTTGTTCATCACCGCTCCACTCTGCAGCAGCTCACACAATCTACAACAACATAACAGAGAGGTAGGTTAACCATCGAGTAGATGAAAACGTGTGCTCAGAAGGAAGATTTCGACAAACACATTATATTCATTTTGATTTCTAAAACGGAAAAAAATGACTGAGGACAGGACACAAGGACATAACTAGCCAACTGACTAGTGTATATAAGTATATATAAAATGACAGGAAATGAACTGCAGAGAAAGGTCAACAGAAGTTCAACGAGTTCAAAGAGCTCCAAGGACAAGGCTAGTGTTTACAACTAAACTCGTTGAACACCTGTTGACGTCTGTGAAGAGTCCCATTCACCCAGGTTCTGTTATCCAGAGACTTTAGTTTTATGGAAATGTCTTCCAATGCGTCAAGACGAAGTCCAGTTGCCTAAAACTTAAAACTCTCTGGATAACATGACCTGGATGAAAGGGAATCTTAACAGACAGTTGTAAGCAACTGGACTTCTTCTCGGAGCTCGAAATGTCTTTCGAGCTCCAAGAAGAAGTCCAGTTGGTTAAACAGTGCTCTTTCTAATAAAAAGGATTGTTCTGAGACAGCCATACCTTTTGACCATTTGTGGATTGAACAGATAGATCTTCATAAAGTGCTTCTCTTTGGCATGATAGCCATAAAAAGGTCTGGGGGAAAAAAACAGATCAGATAGGAGACATTAACATCTGGTATATAAAACAAGATCACTCACTACGGGTTTTTTTTTAACCGGAGTTGTGTTTTCACAATTTATCAAGGTTCTCAAGGTCACTTACATGCCAGAGACCAGGACCACTTTGAAGACGTGCTTTGTGCCGGACGTGGGGTTCCCCATGGCCACATTGAGGGCCCGGTCGATGCTAAAGGCTACCTGTCGCATGTAGCGCTCCTGCTGCTGCTGCCCGTGGCCATCGTAGGGCACGCAGACGTATGGGTAAACTCCATGGAGGTGTAGACATGTCTTCTGACCTGAGGGGGAACAAATTCATTATCCTGTGTGTCTTGTCCTTGGGTTTGAGTGTCATTGGTGTAATTCGCGGTAGTTATGTTCACCAGAGAGAAAAAGTTAAGAAGTTCATTTCTGTTCCTGAAGTCCCAGACGGCCGCCGTCAGGCTTAAACGTTAGCTACTGTACATTTCCAAGTATTCATCAGGCTTAAACGTTAGCTACTGTACATACCCCTCTCCTACGTCTTATTATTTCCAAGTATTCGAAGCAAATCTAACAAATAAAAGGCACACGACTGGTGCCATGGTCCTCAGGGGCGGTGCCGAACAATTATTGGAGTACCTTATTATGGTTTTTTTGGCTAGCGTGATTTATACTCCAGAGCGACTTATAGTCCGGAACTTACGGTAAGTAGTATGTTGGAAAGAGTACTGTTGTTATTAATATGGTCAGACCATCATCTAAACATTTCCTAACATCAACATTAACAATATTAAGATCATGATTTGCAAATGGAAAATGCTAAATTATTATTATTATTATGATAAGTTTATCCTAACGGTATCAGCCATAAGTACCAAAAACAAATCCTCGGTTATACGTAGGAAGAGATTAAAAAACAGATAGTGTGCATCCCTTATTATTAGTGCAAAGACTAGATGATTATTACTAGCAGTAACCTAACAGACGTCTCGAGGAAGCAGAATAGAGCAGCAGCTCCTTTGTTGCCTCAGACCCATCTGAACATGCCCAGACGTGCGTGATCATAACAATCACCTCTGCTGTTCAAGCTCTGTTCAGTGATTGTTATAGCTCTGTTTCTTATTGAAAAAAAAAAGGGGATAAGGAGCAGAAAGCCAACCAAAAGACGCAAACATAATGTGGTAGAAAAGCTAAGGATCTAACTGTAAACCAGGGTATAGTTGTGTGTGTGTGTGTGTCTGTTAAAGAAGGCCACAGTGTGAACTGAGCTGCAAAAGGCTGGCAGACTCTCGAGTGGCGAGGGAGTGGCAAGAAGGAAGGCACGTGTCAGTCTGTTTTCTAGTTTTTCAGTCTGTGAGCATGGACTTTTTTTTTCCTCTAATGCATCTGCACACGCGCAAACACACAGGAAGCAGACCACCAGTACGCTGTACTGACTGCTGTTGCTGCAGTTGCTAAGCAACAGTAAAGCAAAAGGGTCTTGGGGAAGGGTGGGGGAGGGTACACAAGTTATTCCTGCCACCAAGTCAGTCATGCCGCAGGGAGGAGAATTCGGAGTTTGACTTTCTAGAGTTAGCGGATTTTAGTGTGACTTTTTGTCCACGTTGAAAGTTGCTTTTAAAACCTTTGGTGTATGTATCTGTATCTGTATTGACATCTTGGCTGAGTACCTTTTCATCAAAGCATTGAAAACTACTACACTGCATTTGGAAAGTTACCAGTACTTATATATTTTTATATATATAATATATAATATATTTCTTATATTTTTATTTTCATATTTTGTCATGAATGTATCAAATTAAAATAAATAGAAACATTGTTGGAATAACTTTTCTTATTTGTATAACTTTTCAAAACGTGTCCACAACAGGGGTGTTCAGGGACCATCAGAAATTTCAGAATCTGACGATGGATAAGTGTTGAAAACGCAGGTTCATCAAGGTATCGATACCAAGGTGTTGGTATGGTGACAACACTAATATGTATACTTACATATACATATATATATATATATATATACCTATACATTTATACATACATACTGTATATACATATATATACATACATATATACATATATACATACACATACACAAACATATATACATATACATACATATATACATATATATACATATATACATACAGTATATACACATATACACCTTGTGTGTTGGCGCATAATCCTGTCAGATATTATTGACATAAAAAAGACAAAAAGACAAAGAGTAAAGGATAAATAAAGAAATTGAGAAAACAAAGCAAATAAATTTGCATCTAAATTTGGAACAAAAATACAAGGCCATAAACTCCACAATTTCTTTTATTTCTTTTGCACGACTACAGACATTTGTAGCTTCCATGCTAGCTGCTTATTTATACTAATTCAGTACAACTTTATTGCAATGGTAAAATTTAAAATTTTAGATGAGTACGCAACAATGATTGAAATGGTGTTGTTGTCCTAAGACGTGGTAAAAATATTGAGGACGTTAATGTCCCATTAGCTCCAGCAAGCCGTTTTTTTATTTGTTATCTTAATAGCTATCATATAGCCATAGGATAAAGAGCACAAGAAATTTAGTTTGGATTAAAAATGAACAAATTTGTTGGTTCTGATTTCATTGCGCAACCTTACTGTATACCAAAATATCTTTGACCTTTGAGCTAGACACAGGTGGGCTATAAATGCTTTTTTTAAAAATAATTTACTACTGTCTTAAATGGGTGACAAATACAGCATTTTAACTCCCATTACATTAGTTTGCTTGCTACTGTTTGCATTAAAGCACTGAACAATACTGTACAACACTGGTCTGTGCCACAGCTACTCCAACCAATGACTCGGATAATGAAAGGTATGACATAACATACAATGTTTTGGTGTACCTAAAACCATGGTTGTATAAATGAACAAGATGTTCCTTGTTGAGAAACAGTGAAAGTACGACTCTGGCTTAACCCTAAACTCAGGAAAAGCCCCGTGTCCCTAATTACCCTGTGTTATTGCCTTTAAGGCTTCCATGCAAATCACGTTTTTTTCATGCATTCCATGTCTCCTTGTAAAGAACTGCAGTTGTGTTTTTATGATGATTATTATTATTTACATGCGTTCAGGGTTCATCCTTAAAAGCATTTCACTGTGATGCTAATGAGCTGCTCCTCTGCGGGGAATGATTCTATTGTTTTGCAGCAGTGGGATTAAGATACTCAGCAGTAATGGCTTTACTAGAGAGCACAGAGGGGCGGGGAGACACATCTGTAGCAAATCTCATACTGTCTTTTGTGCTGCATTCAAGTGCAGCCGCAAATTACATATGTATGTTTTGTCACCACAATCATTTACGCTCACTGACTGTGCAAACGAGGCCGAAATTCATAATCCTTTTCTCTTTTTAATTTGTATTTTTAATTTTCAGGTAAACGATATTGTTGATTACTGTCAATACAATGGTTAAAACATTTGACAAACGGCTAAGAATTACAGCCCGTGTCCATTACTGACATTTTACCACTGGCGTCTTTAGTTATTCACACTCCCTTCACGTATTTTATCGTGCTTAATAAAGTTTCCTTGGTTATTTCCTAGATAATGTGACGGTGACGTTTAATGTCATCGCATTTCCAGGTTGGTCATGGATGTGTTCGAACTGTCCTAAAAAGCACATATGGCAAAGCAGTGGTGAAAACAAAGCCGACTCGTGCTGTGCTGTGCTGTGAAGGAGAGGCGGCGCCGGTGTATATGGAAAAGAGCAACGCATTGCAATGGTCTTTACCGCCTTCCTATAACCGTGTGACTACATCCTGCTCGATGGCCATAAAGACACCGGGACCGTTAGTTTGAGAACTGCGTGTTTTTTTTAAGACACCGGGACCGTTAGTTTGAGAACAGCGTGTGTTTTTTTTTTCCCGAGAGCAATCACTGCCGCGCAGTCCGCAGGAGGAGTTGCCACCATTTGTGTACAGTGTACATCCACAACATGACTTTACTCACCCGCGGGTGTTGCTCCAAATATCCTCACTACCGGTACTTTCCTTACTTCGCTCTCCCTGAAGTCAGAGTAGCAAACATCCAGGTCCTTGATGGGTTTTGCCAGGTAATAGTCGGCGGTAACAATGCGGACAGTGAACATGACTGTCGAGTGTAAAACACTGAAATGCCCAGAAAACTATTAGGAGTACATGGAACACAAAAGGCTCCGGGGTCGGTTAGCATTGGTCATTGGAAGCGGTGTCATGACTGAAAAATGACGACGAAATAGCTAGGAAGTCCACCTCTGTCGCTTCAAAACATGCAAGTAGCTTCCCGTGGTTTTCGGCCGTTTAGCCGCTGCGGAAATGTGGACAACTGCAGTCTACAGTGGGGTATAAATGGTCCCTCACTTCGCTGTAGCCGCCGAGTCCATGTTGTGGTTGTAGCGGTAGCCGTTTTTTCTTCTCTGTCTTTACTGTTTTTTTAGACAGCCGGGAAGACGTTCTACGGGCCTAAAGTGTTCGGCATTATCTTTTCAAATCACGTCCCCGAAGCTGTCTCGTGTCACCAGACAGACGGTGAGATATGCCCTTAAAGATCCCTCTTCTTCCCAAACAGACTACAGCCACGTTAGCCACACAGTTCTACATGACAAGTCGGTGAGACTTCGTATGACAAGTACTTCCGGCACCTTTCGGAGTAAAATGACTCGTCTGCAACAGGCCTGATATCTTTAATATTTCTACGTATATATATATATATTTTAGATATTATTACTTATCTAAGTTACGTTCACAAACACACACACAGACGCAACGAGAGACACATAGACCTATATATAACCAGAAAGAGCATAAAGTAACTTTTCCCAAGTTTCTGCTTGGTTTGTCAATTTCAAAATAAAAGCATACAAAAATAAGACCGTAAAAATGTTTATTTAAATGTCTATATGCAAGTTTATGTTCTTTGTCCAAACAGAAAATAAATTAATCTGGTTAAGAATCCAAAAATGAACGTTTAGCTACAATGAGCCAACCAGTGAGAAAAAAAAAAAACCTCAACGTGATACATGTATTTTCTTTTCAACATTGTAATTATATTTACAATAATTTTGAAAACAAACTACTGTATGCAACAGAACTACACTGCATCGCTTTTATGAATACCTTGCAAGAAAGTACCGGTATGCAGTATTGTATTATGTTTGTAAAGAAGTTGTTTTTTTTAGATTGTGAAAAATTAGAATGTACCCAACACTTTTATCATTATTATTTATAAAATCAGTTTTTACACAAAAAGGAATGTTCTGCTCTGTCTGCTCAGAAAAAGTGCATTAAAAAAAATAAAAAATAAAACAAGTATAATATTTTCTTTACCACCCCAGGATACAGTTGCAGCTATTTTAACAAGGTACACACTTGATTCCATCATGATTTAATGCTACTCCTAAAGTACTGAATTGGAGCATGTGAAAGTCACACCACACACCATAATAGAAATGGTATAAAAAGGTGATTTCCCGTTTCTCTGCTTTCCTGGTTAGTTTTCCCTCAGAGAGGACGAACAGTAAGGGTGAGGTCGGCCTCTCGATGTGGAATAATGTAGCGCTCCTCCCTGTACAGGCGCAACAGCAGGTCCTGTGTGTCCTGTGGCCAGCGGTAAATCCTGGTGCTTTGCAACCAGTTGGGCACATGTCTCTGTAACACAATTCAAATACTGTGAGACGGTGATTCACTTGATCCTCCTCATGTTCTTCTGTATGGATGCTCCTTTAAAGCGTTGATATTTCACATTTCATTAAACAACAAATGCTACGTTGTAGACAAGATGCAACATAAAGGACAGGGTCTGCCAATCTCACGTGTTCTAAAAGTCAAATGGAGCTCAAGTTTTTATGTCTCAAGATATAATTTCCGTATTATCCGGACTGTAAGTCACTCCAGAGTATAAATTGCATCAGCCAAAAATGCATGATGAAGAAGAAAAAACATATATAAGTGAATCGCCAAAAATGCATAATGAAGAAGAAGAAAAGAAAAACATATATAAGTGACTCTGGAGTCGCACCAGTGCCCTCTAGTGGCTGTCAGTGTAAAAATAACAAACGTATATTTAAAAGTGGTACAGGAGTAGCAGATACTGGTACACAAGCCTAGAGTGCCCTCTACTGGCTGTCAGTGTGAAAATAACAAACTATGTATTTTAATATGTAAGTCGCACCAGAGAATAAGTCGCAAACCTAGCCAAAGGATGAAAAAAAGTGCGACTTATAGACTTATAATCCCGTATACAGAATATCTACACTCAGCTTGACATAACTGCACCTTTTCATCCTGGCTCGGCATTACGTGCCACCAATTAATCCAGTGGTTCTCAATTATTTTCTGTCATGCCCCCACTTGAGGATAGAAATGTTTTTTCCCCCTCCCCGAACCCCCTGACCCACACCCCCGCAGATTGAAATACTATTGAGAACCTGAACATGTATATTTATATATGTACAAACCACTGTATGCGTTGCTGCCACCTAGTGACTGGAGGCGTGTTATCATTACAGCAGTGGTACACTTATGTCCAGCGTGCCATATTTCATTGGAACCCCCTCCCTGACACCTCACCGTGCCCCAGGGGGGCCCACCCACTATATGAGAAGTACTGAAATAATACAAGATTCATGGATCAGAATGGGTCAAGCTGTGCTCCCTCAGTTATTCTGGATATCGTTATTCTACTTTTGTGCAACACCCCCTGGTGGTTGTGCTGCCACCGAGTCCTTTTCAAACCAGTGACAATTGATGTTTGAAAATGGCAGTCAACTAATAATTGTCGTTTTGCTCTTTGTTGTTGTTTTTACTTAAATGCTTAAAACCTGTTGTATGTAAGTGAAACAAAACATTAACTATTATTGAAAATGCAGTTAATTAGTCGCTCTGTCTATGTAAATCATTTGAGTTGGTCTTCACACTTACCTTGGTTGCATTAGGGAAAACAACTGGGACCAATCTGAAGTTCAGACAACCTTGTTGGATGAACTCATTCTGGATCTTTGACAAAGAAAAAAAGAAAAGAAATCCGTTATTCAAAGCAATCTTTTCGTGAACACATATATGTCTTTTGTGGACACATTATTGTATTTATTGTGCCCCTTCGTCAGGTTTGAAAAATATGCCATTTTCAAACTGTATACCTTTTGTTAACATGTCGGTCTGATACTGATAACCACAAGGATGTACCAAGAGATTCTTTTACAAGTGAATAGCCAGTTTTAAGCCGAACAGGAACCACATACCGTATTTTCCGGACTATAAGTCGCTTCGGCGTTTAAATCACACCAGTGCCCTCTAGCGGCCGTCAGTGTGAAAATAATGAACATGTAAATTTTTAGTGGTACAGTAAAAGCAGATACTGCTACACATGCGTAGAGTGCCCTCTAGCGGCTGTCGGTGTCAAAATAACAAACATGTACATTTGTAGTGGTACAAGAGTAGCAGATATTGGTACACATGTCTAGAGTGCCCTCTAGTGGCTGTCAGTGTCAAAATAACAAACATGTAAATTTTACAGTGGTACAGTAGTAGCAGATATTGGTACACAAGCCTAGAGTGCCCTCTAGTGGCTGTCAGTGTCAAAATAACAAAACATGTACACCCTCTAGTGGTTGTCAGTGTGAAAATATTTATATTTAATATGTAAGTTGCATCTGAGTACAAGTTGCAAACGGCCCTGTAGCGGCTGTCAATGTGAAAATAAGAAACGTAAAATAATATATTTCAAAAGTGCGACTTATAGTCTGAAAAATACTTTATGTGCCTATTACATTTATTAATTAACTTTTGACAGCGAACGTAAATTTTCAGTGGTATAGGAGTAGAGGATACTGGTACCCAAGCCTAGAGTGACCTCTAGTGGCTGTCAGTGTCAAAATAACAAAACATGTACATTTTTAGGGGTACAAGAGTAGCAGATACTGGTACACAAGTCTAGAGTGCCCTGTAGCGGCTGTCAATGTGAAAATAAGAAACGTAAAATAATATATTTCAATAGTCGCACCTGAGTATAAGTCGCAAACCCAGAGCCAAAGGACAAAGAAAAGTGCGACTTATAGTCCGGAAAATACGGTACTGTATAAATACTGGCTCGGTACTGTGTTATAAAAAAACCCTGCGATATTGTGATAGACAGTCTGTTGTGTGAGTGCTCACCTGATTGTAAATGTATTTAGTGTGCAGTCCGTGGTCATCATTACCATTACCCTCAACGTCCTCTTTGTACTGGGGACTAATGGCCACAATGATCAGCACTGATTTCTGCAAACACAGCATTATCTCTCAAATGAGACCAAATAACCAAATCAATCGTTGAAGCTATGAGAGAACCTGTGACTCACATCATTCAAATATCTGTCCATCCATTTGGTGATGCCCATTCTTCTGATTGGATTATCAAAAATGTCAATCTAGTAACAGGATCACAGTAAGACCTTGCAACATGATTACAGAGAAACTGACACGGTCTGTTGTACTTACTGCCGGTTTGAATCCCTGATCCGTCAGAAACTTTGTAAAAAGAATGATATCTTGGGCTGTGTCCACTGAATATGTGATGAAAACATTCCCTGTTGATTAAAATAGCAGTCTCAAGGCTCATGGTAGAAAACCAACATGAATATTTATGCTGGAGCACGTGGTTTTGCGACTTACTACACTCCTCGGGGAGGCTAATGGTCTTTCTGATCTCTCTTATGTTTTGTCCCAAACCTGCTTGGGGAGAGAAATTTACGCTGACCTCCTGCATCACATCACTAGGAGGCAGCGTCTCTTGCAGAGGCACATAATTCTGAACTGCATTTGGAGCATTTTTATTGTGTGGCTTTTGCTTGGAGACAGATCTAGGAAAACAGTAACATTGTAAGTATGATGCGTGTGTGGAACGTATTCTGTGACTGGTGACAATATTAGGCATCAATGTCAAATTTGCCCACTTACCGGAACTGTTGGTGGTGTGGATGTACAGGAAAATCACGCTCAGGACAGTAATAGTCTGCGAATGGAGATGACACTAAGCTCTCATAAGAACTGTTAGCATGATGTTGCCAAAAACACTAGAACATTCAGGTTCTACTTAATTTTATATTTTTGTCCAAATCAGCATGATATAAATACAGACTATAGTTGTAAGCCAAGCATGGGCAAACTAAGGCCTGGGGGCCAGATGGAGGCCCGTTTAGCTTTTTAATCCGGCCCGCCAAATCTTTACAAATTATATAATTGGTGTAACCACTAAACGTCGGCGAGGACCCCTGCGCTCATTTTGAGCACTGAGAGCTAGATATGCTAAGTTAAAAATGCATTCAGAATTTAACTTATTGTAGCCACTATGGAGTTCGATAGCAAGGAATTTTCTTTTTTAATATTTACACTTTATGTTATTTAAGTCTATATTTGCCTGGACTAATGACAAAAGTTTTTAGTACTGCTAACCAGAGTTTGAAAGTAAGTACATTTACTCAAGTTACTGTAACTGAGTAGTTTTGTGAGTAATTTTGTAATTTTTTAAGTAGTTTCGGGAATAGGTAATTTTACTTTTACTTAAGTGTTACTGAGTATAAAAATAAATGCGGGGAAAATCAATATGCCGTAACCAAAGGAAAATTGCGTGGGCACGTGTGTGCGGATTTCCCACTATTTTAATGTATCCGGAGAATGTTGACGACGAGACAGGTTCTAGCCTGTCGTTATATGATGCCTGGTGTCGAACAGAAAATGGAGGTTGAGGATTGCTAAACAGAGAGATGACTCAGAAAGAGAAAGAAATCCTTGACCCTATCTCAGCCAGCTCTTTGTTTTCAAATACTGCTTGAATTTGCAGTATAAGTGTTCAAATGGATCATAGAATTCTCAACTTATGTCACTTGCATTTGAATTGTTGATTGAAAAACAACTAGTTGCAGACTGGATGCATGACTCGTCATTTTTTTTGCATCAAGTAATTTAAATTAGCTAAGTAACTTTTACTCAAAGTAAATTTTAAATAAAGTATTTTTTACTTTTACTCGAGTACATTTTTAGATGGTACTTTTACTTGAGTAGAATTTAAGCAAATTAAAAGTACTTCCACCTCTGCTGAAAACCTATACTGTGTTTAGTAACCTGTGCTTTCTGTGCAAAGATCTTTCTCAGAAAAAGTGAAACTAAAACTAAAAAAGCGTACCTCACACACTGTTACTCAGTAAATACCATAAGCCTCGGCACCCCAAACCAAATGACGATTTAAAAACTTACATTGATTGGGCAAGTGTGCCAAAGGGTAAAGTGATGGATTGTTGACAGACTGAAGTGGAAGAGGGGCCTCCAGGTGATGTGCGTCCTCTGTGGAACAATCGTTGAACCAGTCTGAGGGCCCTGCAACGCCTCTGCTATTGTTTGGCATGTACTGCCGGTCATTAACTGGCATCTGTTGTCTTTGGTGTGTAGCATTCATCTGTTCTGGCTGCACCTGTGTTGCGAAGCGATGATTCAGGAAAGCCTGAGAGGCAATTCTGGAGCTCTGTTGGTAGCAGGTCTTGGGGAGTGTCCTCTTTTCAGCAATTTTCTCCTCCGTATTTGACATTTTACTGCTCTCTGCACTTCTACTGCACTGATTACAAACCGGAGGCCAGAGCAGGTCCAGACTGGAAGGTGTCATGCTCTCATCCATTTCAACAGGAACACTCTGATGACGGCAGGGTCCTGACAATAACGGCAAAAAAGAGTAAGCCAAGTATAACTTACAAATGACCCCCCCCCCCGTCCAACTTTTGCGATAAAAATGGAACCTGAAATTTGATGATACGCTGCAAGCAGTTTGTCGGCCACCTGAAATTATCGGCCGTTAAGTGTTTGGACAATATCGTCATATCAGATCTCAGCAAAATTAATATCGGACATCCCTTTTTTTAATCCGATCTTACGAAATATAGCAAAAAATAAACTAAAATACATCATAAAACAATTATACTTAGGAAGGTTTTAGCTTTAAAATTGTGGATTCTCGTTTTGAAATTGAGATAAGCTTATTTGTGAACGATCGCTAGTAGCTTTGTTTACCAGGATGACCTTACCTAGCATACAATTGGCTAATACAATTCGTAGTGGGTGTACTATTGGCTAATTGAGCCTGCTCTTCTGTTCCTCACGCTGATTGGCTCATGCATCGTAGCATCTCTCAGCATTAAACTTATCACAAAATAACGTGAAACTTATCACGAAATAACGTAAAACGTATCACGTAATAACGTGAAAAGTATCACGTAATTACGTGAAACTGAGCCACTTTTTTCTCAGTGTGGCAGCAATACGCTTCCGTTATATCAGCAGTACAATGACCTACAATTATATAGACAGAGGTAATTGTTGTCTTTTATTGCAGATATAAATATTTGAATGAATGTTAGGTTATTCTAGTCAGCAAAAATTGGGCTTAATAACGAGGTATCTAAGTTTTTACTTTGTAGTGTTTCATAAAAATTGAGTTACTAAACAAACACATACATCTGGGTGTTGAGTGTTGTGAGTTCTGGCTTCCTACCTTGAAAAGACTCCATTTGAACACGGTAGAAGGGTAGAAGTTAACAAAGTGTCATCTCAGGCTTGAACGCAGCTGGTGTTTTCAGGTGAAGACCTGGAAGTATAAAGAGAACGTGTCAGGGGAATTTAAATCGTCACACATGGCCATGTGAAGTGCTTTCTTGTTTATTTGATATTCTATACAAACTATACACAAACACCATTTATTTTTAAAATATATTTTTCAAGAATAAGTGAAAAAATAATACAAAGTATTCTGTTCTCATCGTTCATTCTTGTTCCCAGCTTTTCCCTTGGTTGCGCTGCTTCCGGTGCTTTTAGCCAATCATATTTCGGCCTTCCTTGTTGCCGGGTAAAATAAATCTGCTCTAGCGCGTTCAGAACCAACGTTGCAGGTGTTGGGAGCCTAAAATGATTGACGAGGAGATTGTTTCTTTAACCAATCATATTTTGAGTTGGTATCAAACTTGCTGGCCCAGAGTTACGTTGGGGGAATTAACTGATTTGATTGGATGGTCAAAGAACTCACAGTCGGGAATCTAGGAAACTGTAAACAGCGACTTGTATGCTTGTATGAGCGGACATTCAACAAATCAGAAGTTTTGGTTAGTAAAATGCGTTTTTTTTTTCTTTTTAATAATATTGTAATTACGTTTTTATTGGTGTTTTTTGATGTAGCCTACTTTATGTCTGTGGCCGTATTGTTGTTGGTGGGGTTTGTCGATTTAGTAATGGCGTTGTTATGGTTACATGAGTTATCTAGGAAATAACGACTCGTTATACTATAGTTCTGCCTGATATTGATGGTTTCTAGAAATATAAAGATGTTTGTTAAGGCAGGACAACACTGAAGTAACACTGACGTAAACTATTGTGCATGTGTGTTTGTCTTGCCATTGAAACACTAAAAGCTATGAAAAGCAAGAGTCAAATTCCTTGTGCGCACTCATACTTAACGCTGATACTGATTCTATTAACATGTTTGAATGCGTTATTTCACGTTACAGGTGACATTGCATTATAATATTACAATACATTATGATACAATAGGTCATAGTGATGTGTTATGTCAAATATAATAGTATTAATATACAGTATAGCCCCGTTATATTAAATGGCACTTGGCAATTATTTTAATTTATTTATTTTTTCAAGAAATGTCCTCACAAGTACAGCTATGCCAGGAACACACAAACTCCAAGGCGGAAAATACACCCAATGTGTCGACAGCATGAGATACAACTGCCCATTTTAAACTCCGTAACCTCCACTGACAGGTACCATAATAGTAATAATACTAGTAAATATATATTAATTGTAAGAGAGCCAAGAGAAGAGACAGGAATGAAAGCAACAGTGCTGTATCTGTGCGACTTGTGTAGTACAAAGGTCAAAATCAGTTTGTTACGTTACAGTCACTCTTCCATGAACTCTCAGTTTTAGCTCTCAGTCGAAGTTCGCAGCTAACATGTAAATTTATACATTCTCTAGTGTTTTCTAGTGTTCTCTGACACCTACCTTTTCTCTTAACTCCCGAGTCCTCCTCATAACAAACCTGTTCTGCTGCATAAAGGAACAGGAAGTATTCCCACAGATTTTCTCCTGTACAGGTTTATGCAAACCTCCCAGGTCATGTGACCTAGTCGTGAAACAAGGTGGGGCAAAAGTCTACAACTACCAATGAGGTTGTTTGTTGAAGAAGGTAAAAAGCCTTCATTGTTGCTGTCACAAGCATCAGAAGTCAGATGTTAGCAAACGGTAAACTTGAGATTCTTTAAAATTAGTATTTTTTTACAAATCATGGTACACAGGTTTAAAGTGGTGAAGTCAGTGATGCAACATTGATTTAAAACCCAGAGGTAAAATGACGGTAGAATGACAATGATTATTAACGAAAAACGTGTATTAAGAGTGTTTTAAAATGAAAGTAATTTTGAATTTTTCTACAGTTTTATAAGACTGATGTCTATATGCTCCACCAAGACTGTCCAAAAAAAAAAAAAAAAAGATGGCTGGGTCCGTTGCTCCGGATCGGTATCAGTCCAATATTAGTCAACATTTAATAAAATAAATAAATAAATTGAACTAACAGTCCAATATTAGTCAACATTTAATAATATTTGGGAAAATTCTTGTGTTAACAGCAGTTATGCCCCCAGCAGGTGCCAAGCATGTGGTTCCTCTTGGAGAGAGCCCACTACACTATGGAACTGACCCATTTCAGGGTGTAACAAAAAAAAAAAAAAAACGAACTATAGTTGTCCAATCTGATTTCTAAAAGTCAATTTAACTTTGCGTGAGAGACTACAGATTACACATTTACCTTTGTACCTTTGTCAAAGGAAGCGGACTTAGGGCCAGAAGGTTTCAAGTTCAAGTCCAACAGCTGCCAAGTTGCCACTGAGGTGCTCTGAGCATGGCGTCTCCACACACTGCACTGTGTGGGGACGCCAGTGTTTGTTTCCAGAAGACACTCCCTGTTGTTAAGGAAAGATTACTCTACCATTCCAAATTAGCATAGATACCTCAAAACACTTTTGGACCCTGGTTTAATGTTTATCTCCGTTAACTTCAGCTACTAAACCTTCCCCATACAAAAATAATCAACTGTAACACTCAACACGGGGACCACCATGATCAAAAATAGACCTTAACGATCCACCACTCCACTATGGTTCCATTAAACGGGGACCACCATGATCAAAAATAGACGTTAACAAGAGAGAATCACAAGTTCCGAATTACTCTCCACTGTGGTTCCATTACCAAAGAAAGTAAGAACTTTTTGTTTTGGAGAAGACACGAGAAACTGATGTTAAAGGAGGAATTTCTGGCAGAGAAGCAACTCTTGGCAAGACAGTGCCATGGCAGACAGCATAACTGCGCCCACTTGTGGAGCAATGTGGGATCGTAGCAAAAATCCATATTGATTATTATCACAATATTAAAAAATACACAATTGTCTGCATTAACTCTTCTTACAATTGGCACGACATTGTAATTATTTCAGCTGCAAACAATGACATACAGTACATCCTGTAATAATCAAATCCAATATGAAAAATAATAAAAACAACTACTAACGCACAACACTTACATTTTCATGGCATGGCTAAAACAAAAAAGAGAAAAAAAAATCCTTCATCTAAAATTGGATTTACAGTAGGGATGACAAATAATATCGGCCAACCGATATTATCGGCCAACCGATATTATCGGCCTAGTATTAGCATAGCTATATGATATCTGTTAGAATCAATATCGGCTCATCCTCCGATATTGAAAACCGCAATGCTTGGATTTGGGCATCCTGAGACGTTTACCTCAGTTTTGGGAGAAGGCTGCGTAAATCGGTATCGGTTTACACGGAATCGGAAAATACGTTTTTGGACGGGCTGCGTAAATCGGTATCGGTTTACACAGAATCGGAAAATATTGGATATAAGAAACAAACAAAAAGTTAACACAAAGTAAAAAAAAATATCGAACGTCCCTAATTAACAGTCCAACAACTCCAACAACAAACTCAGATAGTAGTGGGTCCGAGGTAAACCCAACTTACAATTATTAATCTTTAAACATTAATTTTAATTTTACTCTTGTTACTCCTTCTTTTTAAGATTAGACGGCTCCGCCGTAACAGACTTGGTTGATGGGAAGTCCTTACGATCCAGGACTGAGAAGACCTTCAAGGTAGTTTGGGTGAGAACAGAACCATGATCGTGCGGTTTCGCTTTACAAGTCACCGCTTGCACCAGCTCACGACGGAAGCGGCGGCTGACCATGCAGTAGAGCAGGAAATTGGTGGTGGAATTCAGGTTCTGCAGCATGTTGGCCAGGTCCCCGGCCACGTTAATGGGCAGGCTGTAGTCATTCCTGTTGAAGTTCCCGTTGTTGTGCTGGGTTCTCAGGATGCTGTACGTGATAAAGCGAGGAAGGCTGAGGAAAACAAAGGCTGCAGAGACGGTGCCCAACAACAGGATGGTCCTCTTCAACAAACCCCTAGTGCAAGTTCCGTGAATGACACGCCGCTCCTCCTTGGTGAAGAGGTTGCTTACGCGACAAAGGTGAAATCCAATAAGGAAATTGAAGATGATGACCAACACGATGGGGACTCCCCCTGAAAGGAAAGTGGTTATCCAAACGATTACGGTTGAATAGACTTTATCACGGTACTGACACCTGGGCAAAGTCACATTTTGTCCATTAACAACGAGGGTAACGTTTGAGACATGGTTGATCCATCCCAGTGGCACAGAGACCAAGTGAGACACAAAGAAAATAGCAGTACAGGTCATCTTTGTAACCCAGGTCTGGGAGAAGTGCTGTTTGCTCCGGGTACTGCGTAGGACTAAGTAACGCTCAATGGTGAACATCACCACAATCCAGCAGGAGCTGTACAGCGATCCGTACTGTAGGAATCCCAGAATGCCACACCAGGGGTGAGAATGCCAGAAAGGCTGCAGCAGCCAAAAGGTGAGGGTCAGGTCGATGAGGATCACCCAGATTATGTAGAGGGTGTCAGCAATGGCCAGGCAGCTCAGGTAAACGCTGGCTGTGTCTGACATCCCACACTTACGGAAGCAGATCATGTAGAATGTTAAAATGTTGGCTGCAAGGAAAATACGAAAATGCATTTAAATAAAAATGCAGTACAAATTTGGCCGATATTTAGAAGACATTATTCATTGAATAGATTAAAAAAAAAAACAACAACTGTAGTTTCCGGACTATAACTCGCACGTATTTCATGTTTTGGCGATAATTTCATGTTTGTTATTTTCACACTGACAGCCGCTAGAAGGCACTCTAGGCCTGTGTACCAGTATCTGCTATTCATGTACCACTGAAAACGTACATGTTCTTTATTTTTACACTGACAGCCACTAGAGGGCACTCTAGGCCTGTGTACTAGTATCTGCTACCCCTGTAAGTCGCACTTTGTTTCATCCTTTGGCTGGTGCGACTTATACTCCGGAACGACTTATAGTCTGGAAAACACGGTATAACATGGCTGACAACATCCCAGGTTTGGGGACAGGCATCTAGTACTGTAGCAGGGCTTTTTGTCAAATAGCTTAGCATAGCTACATTTGCTGTGTTAGCTGTATTTTAGTTGACCCAAGAGAAACAAGACAGCTGGAAAATATTTCCAACACAAAAAACTGTAAACGCAATCTTAAATTCCTTATGTTCTAATAAAAATAAAAATAAAAAGGAAATAAAAAGATACAAACCCGGAATACCTATGACGCACAACAAGGGATAGTAGATCTTCTGTAAAGTGACAAAGGCAGTGACGCTCACTCCTTCCATTTAACTGATGAAGATCTGTTCACATGCTAACACCTGCAATAAGTCAGAGAATTGTTGGGAACGTGCAGGGGATAGACAGTTTTATTATTCCATGAGTTGCTGCCGGAATTGTTGAATTATGAAAACAAAAAAACAAAACAAAAAAGATCTGTACTTATCTGGTTCTGATGACTATTTGAAGAATTTAAAGCTACATTCTGGAATAAATACTGCTAATCCTAGTAAATGTAAACAGTAGTAAAATGCAGTACATACCGAGCTACAGCTGACAAATTTGTTCATTTTTACTAAAAGCTCTCAAAATCAATAATGAGCTATGAGCAATTTTACAAAAATAAATAGACGTATTATCAAGTAGGGTGAATAAAACAGGATAAGAAAAAATACTGAATACACGAAAGCTAATTACAAAATAACAAAAAAAAAAAAAAAATGAAACCAAACTTTTTGAGTATATAGAAACTAACAAAAACATTTTTTTAATTAAGCTTTTAACACTGTATTTCTTGGGAAAAAATAATTTAACAAAAAAAATCCTTTTAAAACTATAGAACATTGTGTTACAGTTTTTTCAATTGGATCAAATTTATTAAATTATTTAAATATAAATAATACATTAATTTAAATTATTTAGGTGAAATACTGAGACCTACCTGCCTTTTTTGACTTGTGTCTTGTGTCCTTGGTTTACGGTAGCTACGTGAAGCATGCAGTGTGCCGAGAGAGAGAGAGCGAGAGACAGCGACTGAATGTGGGAGACAGTGAACCACAGTTTTGGGTGCTGCTACTATGAGGGGCGAGTCACTTTACTCGTGATACTTCACAGATGATGAGGGGAGGCGCTAAATAAAATTCTAAAGACATTTCTACTTTTTAAGTAGTTTTAAAAGTAAGTTATTTTTCGATTCGGAACACGGGGAATTAAGTTGAAAGAATACATTTAAAAAAATATATCTTTATCAGCTGCTTTTAGAACTACTCACCGAGCCGAATGCAACCGAAGACGAAATCAGATGGCACGACCTGATGAACTTGTGGACCAATGCGGTAATGCGCTAAACAGGTTGGGAGCAGGCACATCCTATTTTAGTAGAAAAACAGAACAAATTGGACCTGCAAGGGAAAAAAAAGAGACAAGTTGGGTCGTGCCAAGCATTTTAAAATAAACAGCTAATAATAAAGAATGCAAAAATATTTGGAAAAACAAGTGGTTAAATGTGTACTTCTCGGAACCAAAGGTATCATCCATGAATGAACTGCAATTATAAATACAACTTAATGAATACAACTAATTATTACAATATAAATACAATAATTATTATATAAACATAACTTCTTAGAAATTAATTACAACCACACACATCATCCTATATATACATATATACACACACATATATATATATAATGTGTCAGCATTGAAAATCCAATGTTAAATCCAATGTCATGGCTCAAAATGATTCTGTTAAAATTATGAAAATGTGTAATATATAAATAAATATATATATATGCATATATATATTCAGTATCAAACACCTCAAAAAACCTCAATAAAACATTTCTGAAATTTTCACGTGTCTCAAGAAACAATTTCAACATGGGTAAGTACAAGTAAAAGTAACCGAAAAATAACCAGAACCAGAAATGACGAGAAATGTTCACAAATCTTTGGAGTAATGAGAAAGACCTCATATTCTCGTCATTTTATTTTAAAGGAGATAGAACAAACTTACTTTAACAAAATATTTTTAAAAAAATCACACAATAATGGAAAAGTAAGGTTTGTCAAATAAAAAATACATCACAAAAAAAAAATACCCTGATTGGAACTTTTTCACATTTCTCAAAAGGGTAAAACCAAATTGCTTTAATACTTTGCTCACTAACCGGCTTCTACAGTGACAGGGTTGTTGCTTATCTAAGAGTGGGATGTGCAGCAGGCAATGGAAAACAACAGACAGTGTATGACAGATTACAGCACATTAAAAAGGAAAAAGAAAACGTGAAGCTGCAAATGTAGGCTTGAAATGTTCTGCTGGTGTGTAAACTGCTGTGTAGGAGTGGAATCCCCTACCTTTAAAAAGTTAGTAAACATTCCGATGAACTTTGAAGTAGGCATCTGGACTAGCTTAGGTTAGTTAAAGACAAGTCATTTCCTTCTACAACGATTCTCCTTCAATTCCTGAAACTGAAACCTAAACCAATCCATGTCCTTCTACTAAACCTTTCTGGACGTCATGACCTGGATGAACGAGAACCACTAAAGACAATCATACATTTCCTGCTAAGCGAATGCTCTAAATCAATGGTGCCCAACCCCCGGTCCGGGGACCAGTGCTGGTCTGTAGGTCACATATCTTGGAATGTCTGTGTAGGTTCTCAGTCATCCAAGTCTTCTTATCCGGATGAGAGGTGAAACATCTTCAAGAAATGTACTCGATGTAACTATTTTTTGCCATATCCTAGAATCAATTCTTTTGACCCTTTCTTCATTGAACAGGGTGGAAAGCCTTGAGCCTCTGACCCCAAACCACCGGAACAAGATAATGTCGACCACGATCAGTTTGGATCACACCAGCTGTGAGACCGCACTGGCATGACACAAAGACAAACTTTAAAGTTGATGACGCAGTGTTGGAGATGAGTGATAATTTACTAATCTACATGCCTAACCTCCCCGCCCTTTGGCAGCTCACATTGCCCCCCCCCCCACCCCCCCCCCCCCCGTCCCTCCAGGGGGGCCCGCCCCATTATTTGTAAAGTTCTACTGTAATAGAACCTTTAATTCATAAACAGGTTATCTGAGGCTTCTTAAAGTGCCTTTGGTCATCTACACCAGCGGTCCCCAACCTGCCGGTATCAGCCGTTACTGCGGACCGGTAATACCGCGCTATCCTTGAAGGGTCATTCAATTTTCAAAATAAAACATCTCTCAGACTTTATTCTGTTAGTATCAGAGTCTGAAAGACCTGTTGGTTTGAAACATTGACAGATTATCTTTGAATAAATGAAGTAAAAGGAAACGGCCTGGTACCAAATGACCCAAGGAGCGTCACCGATCTACCTCACGTTTCAGAAATGGATACTGCTTCGTATTTTTGTACTTACTTGATGGTTTCATCTTAAATGCATAAATCATCCATGGTTTAATGAACACTGGACTGCGAACAAGGTACAATTTATAATTTGTCAATAATACCACGCAACATCAGTCCAAGACCTGGACCATCTTAGTTCTGGGGATGTTACAAAGCCATTGTATGTTACCGGAGAAAAAAAAAACAAAAAAACAACAATCTAACAAGTAGTAAGTGAGGAAGCTCTGAAAGGCGTTAGAAAGTAATTCGATTAGAAAGTAAACCGAACTCACACTTTCTTTTTACATAATCTGAAAGGTGTGTTATTATTACGATTACTTATAGTATTTTGTGCAAAAAGAGAATAGAAATTAATAAACAAACCAACCTACCTAAAATAAATCTTTTACGTTTATTGAATAAAGGCATTTGATTGCATCATTCCATAACTTCCATTTACTTTTGTCCAGCATTCCTCTCCCTCCTTTTAACCTAGTCCAGAATGTGGACGAGGAAGAGGAATGTCGTTTTTTTTTGTTTTGTTTTTTTTTTTGGCTGGGGCTGAGGAAGCCGTGACGATCTGTAAAATAAAGGCCTGTAGCTGTGAGGCTTCACAGTCGTTTTCAAACAGTACCAATTCAGTGTGTGTGGCTCCAGCAGTCATTACCACCTGCGCATGACCTGAACGAGAGGTTAAAGGTTGTCCCCGGGCTGATACTGAGGTTCTGTTGCTGTGAAGTAGTCCTCCAGGAAGGCCTGGAGGTACTCGAAGGTGGGCCGCTCCTCTGCATTATTTTTCCAGCACTGCAGCATTAGCTCAAAGAGTGAAACGGGGCAGTCCTGGGGGCAAGGCATCCTGTAACCTCGCTCCACCTGCTCTAGGACCTCACGGTTGTTCATCCCTGAAAACAAAGAGTAAAAAAATGAAAATTACTCAGCTGTCAACCCGAATACAGCATTTTCCGGAATATAAGTCGCACTTATTTTTTTTCATCCTTTGGCTGGGTTTGCGACTTATACTCAGGTGCGACTTAATATATAAATTCACATGTTTGGTTATTTTCACACTGACAGCCACTAGAGGGCACTCTATGCTAGTGTACAAGTATCTGCTACTCCTGTACCACTGAAAATTTACATGTTCGTTATTTTCACACTGACACCCGCTAGAGGGCACTCTAGGCTTGTGTACCAATATCTGCTACTCCTGTACCACTGAAACTTTAGGGCACGCTCTCTGACTGGTGCAACTTATACTCCAGAGCGACTCATATATGTATTTTTTTCTGCTTTATGATGCTTTTTTTTGGATGGTGCGACTTATAGTCCAGAAAATACCGTAATAAATCGCTAAAATAATGAATCATAATTAATCAAGGTAAATCATCATTTCTAAATATATAGCCTTATTTGCTCTATATACAGTAGCTGGAACAGAAAGACAAAGATGTTGGGGTGTGTTTTTGGCAGGAATCTTGCGATACAATACGTATCACGATACAGAGGCAACGGGACAATATTTTGCAATATAATATGCATGGCTATATATAGAGTTTTTTTTTACAATTTAATTGTAGGAAAACTGTCAACATAGTAAACACACAATTTTGTTACAGTCTTACATCAGGTCACTAAAGAAAATTTCGTGAATGGGGGAGATGCTTCATTTTTCCAATCCATCGATCATTACATGGCAAATATACTAATACAGGTAAGGAATAAAAATAGTTGAATTCATTAAATGAGTACACTTTCCATTCTCTAAGACATTAACTGTTTGTGTGGAGTACTGCTGTGAATGTGTCTGAAAACTAAAAAAATGTTGGTTTATCGTTCCCTAACCTGGATAAGGCACACGGCCCTTGGTGACCAGTTCCATCAAAAAGATGCCGAAAGACCACACATCTGACTTGATGGTGAATTTTCCATACAGTGCAGCCTCCGGGGCGGTCCACTTGATGGGAAACTTTGCACCTGTGGATGAGAGTCGTGACAGAATGTAAGCAGTACCATGGGTAAACTTTGATCCAAGGCGTTTGTTCCACAAGTATTTGCCAGAAATCGCGTTACACAAGTTCATCGTATGCTCATCGTTAAAAGACAGCTTATGACTGATCACACAAGCGCAATGTCCAGAGACTGCCGTCCAACTGTATAATTACAGCAAGAGTCAGACCCATAACGTGTAGCTTCCGAAGAAAGTCGAGAGCTGAGAACGGACACGGAAGCTTTCGCGATGGTCCGTTCCTTCTTTTACGTAATGGTATGATCCTGGTCTGTCCTGATATGATTGGCTGCATAGTGTGCCCATCAAACTAACGTCCTGCCCCCTGCCTGCATAGATTCTCAGCAGAACAGAGTAGGTTCTCCACGACATGGGTATCGGATCGGATGGACTACAGTCGTTTTATTCGATATCTGATCCGGAAATTTGGACCAATATCGGACCAATTCGGAGAAGACTAATGGAAGTCGTATGACCTCACTAGCTCTCTCTGCAGTGTTTCTGCTGACAACAACGCAGTGTTTTCTCAGATATCGCAATTTTTTTTTTTTATCTTTAGCCACTCATATCTCTCTTTCTGGTATAGTGTTGCTTGTTTTTATAGATACACAATAAACCAGTGGTTCTCAATTATTTTCCTTTATGCCCCCCCTTGGGGACAGAAATGTTTTTACGCCCCCTCCAAATCACATGCCTGCGAATTGAAATACTATTGACAACGTGTATGTTTTTATCTGTACAAACCACTGTATGAGTTGCTGCCACCTAGTGACTGGAGGCATGTCCAGCGTGCCATATTCCATTGGAAGCCCCTCATGACCCCCAAGTTTTCTATATTTGTTGTCTCTATTTTGTTGCAAGGTATACAAAAGAAACGGTTTTGTCCAATTTTGATCTTACTTCGAAACACTTGCCCTGTAGTATATTTATGATGGAAAAGTAAGTGGGGACCCACCTTGTCTTGCAGTGTACTCATTGTCTTCAATGAGCCGGGCCAGACCAAAGTCAGCTATCTTGCAGGCAAAATTGTCTCCCACCAGAATGTTGGCAGCGCGTAGGTCTCTGTGGATGTAATTCATCCTCTCAATGTAGGCCATTCCTGATGCCACCTGGAGGACAGAGAGCTTACTACATCAACACTTTTTGAATACAGTGCTCAACAGCACTATATTACATATAAGCTGTACAGTGTGTAAGTTCCGATCCTTAGTTGAGGACAACCGTATTGCACACAAGGTCATAGCAAATCCATATTATTTTTTATTAGTGATACGCTTCAAAGTCTGAGATGTCCAATGCAGTACCAGTATACTGGAGGTCAGATCTACTTTTATATGGCAGTATTCAAAACCCTTAGATCGTTGTTCAGATAAAAAGTCGGTCTCTAAGCTCATGCCTTATTGAATGTAGCGGGAAAATGCAGAAGCTAGGAATTTTGTTTTGTACACGTTTATCACTAGATTCAGAAGGAAGTGCGGATACCTGTGCGGCCATGTCCACCAGGTTGGGCAGTTTCAACGCTCGTCCTTCTCCATCTTTCAGGAAATCCAAAAGGCTCCCTGTGGAAGACATAAATAGTTTGTCTCACGTAACCGCGCTCATAAACCACGTTTATAAACATTAGGTTGAATTTTAAGAAGTGCAAGATGTTCTTTTCAGGGTACTCTTTTTATAGTGTTCCCCTATTCCAAGGTAATTCAACACTTTTATGTGTTTTCTTTTTGGGCTCGTCCAGCAGACAAGCTAACTAAAGACATACGGCTTACCAAAGAAATCAGTAGGGGGCTAACTTTTTAGGCTAAGTTTTTAGAATGGGCCGAAATCCCTCCTGCGCTGTAAGCAAACCAGGTGATCACAACAACACCAACTACAGGAAACTATACCGAGGTCTATCTTATATTTTGCTTGGGGATCAAATACGTATTTCACTATATAAAATGCTAAACATTTATATAATTTGTATATACTGTGTTTTTTTAATGCATTTTTCATTGATATCCTGTCTACAACCAACGAACCATAAAAATAAGTCAAGTTCATTTTTGTCTATATATCTAAAAAAGAAAAAGAAGATTTTATACAATGCTACATGCACATGCGCAGGTATCTTTCAGCCTGCGTGCCTCTACCTTTGCCCATGTACTCTGTGACAATGTAAATGGGCTCTTCAGACACCACGGCGTAAAGCTGCACCAGCTTGTCATGGTGGAGCTTCTTCATGATCTGAGCCTCCTCCAAGAAAGACTCTGGGGACATGGTGCCAGGCCTCAGGGTCTTCACCGCCACCTTTGTGGTGCCGTTCCAGGTTCCTGGCACACGCAAAAAAGATTTGAGAACACGCTATCGACAGTAGAGAAGGAAAGGACTTCAAGATTTGCTCTAAAATGACGACGGATTAACATGCAACGCTTAAGAAGATCAGCAGTGACTTACGGTAATACACACAGGTCAGTTTTTAGTAGATCTTGGTAGGAAATGAGTTCTGAAATCTGAGTTTTCAAATCATAGAATTGATGTTTTGCATAAAAGAGGAGTACAACGTTTTTGCAAATTTTTTTTTTTTTTTAGCAACATTTTTTTTTCTTTTCAAACCTTTGTTGACGACCCATGATCTTCAGGAGGGCATCAAACTGTATTGTTAGCCAAATTTATATGTAGCTGTAGCATACGCAGCTAGGTTAGGGGGAAGGGGAACGCTGGGGAAGTACAGTTTTTAAAGCAATCCAAAAAAGTGGGAAAAGACGAAGATGAAAATGTGTCTTGTACACAAAAGGACTCTTACCATAAAACACCTCAGCAAAACATCCAGTACCCAGCTTTACTTCCAACTTAAGTGTGTCTCTGTTGATCTCCCAGGCATCGTGGCTCAAGCCCACAGTGTCAGGATGGTAGTTCACACATACAGTTGTTAGACAGGGAGGGAGGGAGGGGGGAGAGAGAGGCAAGGAACACAGGGTTAGCTACCAGGGAGAGGAACATGCATAGAGCCACTTAGAAAGCAGCCATTTTATCGCTAGACCAGAGAGTGCTGACATGCGGATGATTTTTAAGGAAGAAGTGTCTGTGACGTGGACCGCCACGAGCTAAGAAAGACTAAATGTTTTGTCAGGTTTTTCCTCATTCATCCCATCCAACTACAGATTATTCTGTATGTCAGGCTGTTGTCTCTGTTGCTAGCCGAGCAATGTTGCTTCCTCGTGACCCCGTTTTCCGGAGGCGACCTCATCCCTACCCATCCAGACCTCCCCAAACTGCCCATTCCCGAGACGCTTGATAAGATGCACCGACTCCCGCGGAATCTCCCAGACGTCCTTGGTTTTTACGCACAGGTCGGCAAGGCGAGGCATCCCTTTGTGGCAGGAAACCGCTAAGCGACAGCATAGCCCAGCAGCTCGGTCTTAACATGATGAAATGCGAGAGACAGGTGGCATGAAGAGAGAAGTGCAGAAAGTTAGCTTCGTAAAAGCATACAGAAGGAAAAACAGGAAACACAAAGATCTGACGATCTCCTGCTTTCTGGAGGTTTAACAGGCAAAGGTTCAGGAAAAGGTTTTATAAGTTTGACATAAAAGTGGGGTCAAAAAGTTCTAATACAAATAAAAAACAAAAAACAAACAAAAAGAAAAAAAAACAAAACAAATGGAGCCAGATCAAAAGGTTTGAACATCTTCGAAAATTACCCAGGTTTTTATTTTGGTTAAAATGATCGCACCTGAATATAAGCCGCGCCCACTAAATTTAAAAAGAAAAAAAAAATTGTACATATATAGGCCGCACTTCGCACTTCACTTCTCTCTTCTTTTTTCCACTTTTAATTAAATAAATATTTTTTTCCGAACAGTGCCTGTAACACGGCTGGTTACCCGTTAGCTCTTTCCTGCTTCGGAGCCCCGGCTGTAGTTGGAATGCGTATGGGAGACTTAGTGATCTGCTCCAGGGCCGAAGCTAACATTAGCTCCTGGGCTAACTCCTGTCACTTTGTGCTTGTCCGCAGCAGAGGTAAACAGAAACAGGGAAGTTTCTTCAACATGACAGGGCTCAAACTGCTCTCAACTTTCGATACTGTTCTCTCTCTCTCACGTGCCTCACGCACATATACGCACAAGGCTCAAACTGCTCTCAACTTTCGATACCGTTCTCTCTTTTGCGCCCCCCACGCACATATACGCACACAGCCATTCACAGACAGACATACGCTACTAGTACAACACACGGTAGCCTACCAGAAAAGTCATTGAACGCTAGTGGTATGAAGTTCGTTAGCCTGTAAAAGCCTGGAAAATACGGTATATAACGCTGTTGTACCACAGGCCAGGCTTCAGGTGTCCACACTTTGCTCTTTAAATGGACATGCTGAACAGTCCATTTAAATTGATCGACGATGGTACAGAAACACCTGGCTGAGAGAAAAAAAATCGTACAGTCGTCAACGAACAAACTGATCTTAGGATGTTCCTCATTAGTTCGTAATCTTTCCACTCTGGTGCACAGCCTTAGTGCCCCCGCCCAGTGGATCAATACAGAGAGAGAGTGGACCGTGTTTCTTTAGTCCTCATTATGGTGGAAAATGACTAGGTCTAAGTGCACTAAGTCAAAATGACTGAGGATTGTTACGTAAGACCCAAATCCATTAGAGAAAACATAACCCGTAAAAAGGTGTTAAATAGGTTCAATAAACAAATTGTCCGTTTATGAAACCTGTTTGGTTTTCTTTTATTGTTGTTATTATTTTAAAGTACTTTCCAGTTTATATTAATTGACGAAAGACCTGTATGGTGAAAAGGCTTCTGGGCAAGAGATGTATTTCCCTCCCCCCGACAAGCTGACGTTCAAATATATATTATTCATTTTAAATTTGGAAGAGCATGACATAAATGCTTCTTCATTTGTAGTTGTATTTTATTTTTTTCCTTATCATCGTGTTAATTTAGTAGCTTAGCCGTCGCAGTTTGCTACGGTTAAACGTATTGGTGATACATTAGATGAACATACGATTTTGTCCAACTCGCTCGCAATGGTTTAGCTTCAGTCATGACTGCAGCCTGTATGTAAAGGCTTGATGGAATAGCTCTCTGTGGCTAATGACATCTATGGCACTTACACACTCAGGATAATGATGGTTACCGTACACATAATGCACACAGGACGAACCCGATCCGCAGTGTTCCATTACGCGCTTGTCCGTCTCTTAATGACATAGCAATGAAATAAAACATTGTGTTAAGTGTTAAGTTCAGGGGAAGTGTAAAGTGTTTGCCAGGCATTCGATCAGACCAGTGAATTAGGGTGCGGTTTTTACGTCAGTGCACACACACACTGACTGCGCAGAGGGACCTATGTGTGTTCCTCATCAGGAAAAGTGCCTTACGGTGTTTGCATAGAGACGTAAAGGGCATTAAAAACAAGATAAGACCAGCAGTTCAAATTCGACCATAGCCGTTAAAGCCCATCTGGCATCCTACAGATGTTACAGTGTTCAAAGATGATCAAATGCTCTGTGCTCACTCTGCAGGGTTCTGCGAAAAAAAAAAAAGTCAATACCCGTAGTTTAAGGGAAAACAGACACAGCAGGCCGTCTAAGAAAAAAAAAAAAAAATCGATCAGTACAAAGCAACACGGTAATGTGTCGTTTAGCTTAGAGAAGGATCTTGGAATAATGACCTTTGAGTTAATTGTGTTAATGGTATTAATGGGATTGATATATTTGTACTTTTACTCATAGATAAAATATATTTAATGGGATTGATATATTTGTACTTTTCAACAAAAAGCAGCAATAACTAAAACACAGATAAAATATAAACTTATTTAAGGTATAAGTAGATCTTGGATAAGAGTAACAATGTAGAACATACGTGTCAAACTCAAGGCCCGGGGCCCAAATGCGGCCCTCCAGGTCATTACGTGTGGCCCGCATTTAGTAAAGTCCATGCAGCAGAGTTTTTT